TATGTAACTTTCATATACTCCTTAATTGGTATAAGCTTAATCTCAGCAGCAACAAGAAGGCCAATTGTTCCTTGGGACCATGGGATCGCATAGAAAAGATCTGAGTACTCATTATCTTTAGTAGCTCTAACAACCTGGCCATCAGCTAGAACAACCTCGTAAGCCACAACAGTGTCCGAGAACAAGCCATAGAGATGGGAGCTTCCTTCAATCCCATAGCCATTGATGAGTCCTCCAACAGTAAGATCATCAAGTTCAGCAACTACAGCAAGAGAAAGATTGAGTGGAACAGTGGCTCTACTGATTTGTCCCATGTTCACAAGGGGCTCAACTTTGGCAATCATTTTCTCTTGGTCAATATCCAAAATGTTCCGAAAAGCTGATAAATCAACCTCAAAATGGCGTGCTCTTTTATAGTCAACATTTCGCATTCCAACAGCAATCCATGGTTTTCGAGCTGTGCAAACAAGTCCATCCTTTGCTGGGTTCCTCTGTTTAAGGCGCTTTACAACTTTCTCGACATTTTCATCATGTTCCTTTTGGCGTTTCTTGTATGATTTCCAGGCAGATCTGACATCTCCAAGATATGTAAAGAAGTATAGGCAGAATGATATAGGAAGGACAACAAAAATAACTAAAATCCATCGGAATTTCACAAAGTAGTCCACCCAGACCTTCTTCCTCTTTGGACGCAAAGGAACCTCTAAATCTGACATTGTGCTACACGATTATGCCTTCAATGCTGTAACAATGAAGACAAATGGTCAAAATGGTTGCAAAAATATCTCACATTTTCAAATCGAGAGTGAAGTTTCATCAAGAATGGCCTCAATAAAAAGATTATACGCCACTACCGAGAAAAGAAAAAGAGGGTTTATTAAGTGACATTGAAAAAAACAGAAACAAAAGGAATGTGCAAATGCATTTCAGCATTTTAGAGGAAAGAAAGCCCATATAGTCTATTTAACCGAATATCATGTTCATTCATCAGAAACAAGAACTTATTTATGATTCATCAGACACAAAAACTTATTTATGATTCATCAGACACAAAAACTTATTTATGCAGGCGTTTGAAGCAATTATTTCAAGAGTAGATACAATCAACCTAATATTTTTTTTGCTCAGAGAGAAAAAAAAAAAAAATTAAGGAATGAAACTAAATTCCTCGTGCAACGGTAGCTGGCTTAGATAAAAGAATAAAATATAAAATTAGAGGAGTGGATTCTCACTCAATTTCTCAGCAACCAAACAGAGGAAAAACAGAGAGCAGCACTAAGATCACTCATTCACAAACACGAAAATGAAGGATTAAAATGTTGCATCAGCATTCGGCAGCAGTTTGGGCGAAGAAGGTGAGAGGTTACGGCGAGGAATAAATGTGAAACAGAGGAACAAAGAAATCAAAGCGTAAAGGCGTATGTAAAAGCCGAGAAAAAAAAGTTGCAAACGGAGAATGAAGATGAAAATCGAAGTAAGAGTAGGTCAGAAGCAAAATTATACAAAATAAAACCAACAATCAAACCTAATGAACTCTGATCCTCAATTATAATTCCACTTCAAACGGAAAGAAACAAAACAAGTGAAAGAAATCCAAGGCAGATCGATGCTTCAACAGTAAAAAATTCATGAAATAATAATCATACAAGTTTCTCTTCCGTTTTTTAGTGAATAAAAGTCCAAAACGCACAACTTCAATAAAAAAAAATCGCGCTGTTCGTTTACAGAAAAAAAAAAAAAAAAAAAAAAAAAAAAAAAAAAAAAAAAAAAAAAAAAAAAAAAAAAAAAAAAAAAAAAAAAAAAAAAAAAAAAAAAAAAAAAAAGAGAAAATAAGGTACAAGATGGAAATGATGACTCCTAGAAGTAATAACATCATACTTTTTAAAGAGTAGAGAGAGATGAAGTTTTAGAAATGCAAGAGCAGAAACTAAAAAATAGAAGAAAAAAATGTTCGGATTACAGAGGATCATGAGTTTCACGGCTGAAGTAAGAACACTACCAGAAGCTGCGACGGCAATGGCGACGGGAGATGAACGACGGCGGAAGAGTGAAGGAAGAGAGCGATTAGAGGGACAGACGTTTTATTGGCGCGCTCTTCATCTCTCTCTCTCTCTCTCTCTGTCCCTATTGAATTATGACTGCACCTGTTCCTTATTAATCATCTTCCCATTAACCTCTGTGAATTTTAAATAAATAAATAAATAAATATAGAAAAAAGCGAAATTTTACTTTTTTAAAAAAATTAATAAACAAAATTCAACAGTTTTTGTGGGTCCCAATGTCCATGCTTAAAATGTTTTAATTTTAATTTAGATAAACCACAAATATTTTAAAATTTATGATGTGGCACAATTTTATTGGTTTAAATCTTTTCAGGATAAAAATTGAGATTAAAAAAAAGTTAAATACAAGCTTATTTATTTATTTATTTATTTATTGAATTATATAAAATAATATATATATATATAATCATTCATCTTTGATATAGATTTCAAAATATAATATTTTCACGTTTGAATTTTAACTTTATTTTTCATTTAATGTTTATGTTTCAAAATATTATATTTTTATTAATTTATTAATGCTACATATTAATTTAAATATTATATTTTTGTCCGAATAAAAATAATAAAAATAAACAGCTCTATGTATGAATAATTGATTGAAAGAGTGTTTCTCCACAAATATGCTCGGGTCTCCATAAGACATAATAAAAAGTTGGGTCTCGTGACATTCTAAACTCAACTCACGAACAACGCAACCCTTGGAGCATACAGCATCTCCAAGTGGCGTCCCCACCTTCATGCAGTATATCACTGGCAGTCCCTTGTGAGTGCGACACGTTGAAGAAGACTGTTGAAATGACTACTTCTGTGAAATTGAGATGCGTCTAGAGATTCATTCAACTTCGCACCTTCGGTTCTAAACTACTAAGGTGCTTATCTTACGGTCTAGGGGAAGGAGAGAGCCAGCTTTACCCAAATCGGAAAAAAAAAAAAAATTCAAATACATCGATAATATTTCTTACTTTTTTTTTCAATTCTGAGTGTAATATTTGGAGAACAATATATTCAAAATTCAAAAGGAAATTAAAAAAAAAAATAAATAAATAAAGTTCTGAAAAATACAGGAATTGATGTACAAAATTCTATAAAAAGTAAATGTATAAATAAATGACTAAAATAGTTTTTGCATTTTTTTATTTTTAAAATTTTGGCAATAATCAACAAATACGACAAAAATCCAACAAACCTCCAAAATTTTCAATAAAGAAAAAAAGTCAAAATTAATTATTTACTTTTTGAAAAAAAATAATATAAACTATTTGAATTAGTAATCCATTTTCTTCAGAATATAATATTACTCAATAAATGTAGCATTGATTATTTATTTATTTATTTATAAAAAGTAATAAATTTAATGATAAGTTTTAAATAAGTTGAATAGCGCAAGAATAATTAAAAAAAAATGAAGGACTAGAATGAAATATTTGAATAATGGAGGGACTAAAATGAAATTAAAAGAAAGCTTTTCAGAAAGTAAGCAGGCATGTGCATCATTCAACTCTGATGTTACCTATCAATACAAGAGATATTATGCAGATACTTCTGCCACCATCACAAATTTAAAATAAACCTTTTTTTTTTATAATTATTATTTTATTTTTTATTATATTTTACTCTAATTTTTTTAATTCAATCAAATTATATTTTAAATCAGAGTAAAAATAAAACTATTATAATTCACAAATAAATTAAATTTGAAAAATAATTCAAATTTGAATAAAAAAATAATTATAATATATATTTTTTAAAAAAGATATAGGAATTAATTAGAATTATTGAGGGTCTTTATTGTTTAATTAATCTAGCTAATCATCATTAATACTTGAATTGTTCATAACCTCTTGAACAAGAGGTGATGGTTTGTTAATTAAATTTGGCATAATTATGGTTAATTAATTAATTAATTAATACTAAATCATCATTAAATCACACATTCACCTCCTTCCCATATAATTGAATTTCTCTATAATTGTACAAACAATATGTTTCACTAATTAAATACACATTATAATGGTTCGCTACAAAAATAAATTATAAATTCATTGTTTAGAAATTACTTGGTTAGGGGAGGGTGAAAAGCTTAAAATTACTTAATAATTCATTATGAATCATTTATTACTAAATTATTGATAACTTTAAATTACTTTTTTTTCCCTCTAAAAGTCCACTAAAATAGTAAACTAATAATTAAAGAGAGAATTTAGAGTTTGGCTCAAAAATTATATTACAATTTTGTGACATTTTATTAAAAAGATGTTAAAACATAATTTTAATTTTTAACAATATATAATAAATCTTAAAAGATATTGTAAAATTATCTAATAAATCTTTTGGTTAAAATACAATTTTAACTACAAATTTCATTTCATATATTTTCAAATATTTAATTTAGTCATTATAGTTTTAATAAATCTTAAAATTAAAATTAGTCTCTAACATCAATAGAAATTAATTAAATTAATTTTATTTCCAAATGTATAGAAGAAGTTTTTTCCGTATACATGCATTTTAATTTTATTCACTAGATAAGTAATTTTCAAAAACATTTTTTTTTTTAATTTGGTTAAATATTCAGATGTTTTATTGAGACAAGATTATCCCAGAGAATTGTCAAACAAAACTAATTTAAAAAAATAAAAAACTAAAATGGTTATAAAAAAATTGGCATATACATAATAAAATCTCGATTGTTTTTTCATAATTTTTTTATAATAATTATTTGGAAAACATGTAGAAGATAGATGACAAAATAATAATGAAAATTTAAAAAAAATAAAAAAGAAAGAGTAAAATAGTTAAATAAAATTTGTAGTGTTGGGGTCCAAACTGAAAAAGAAAAGGAAGGGACGTGCAATGTGTCAGAAGGAAAAAGTGTTGGGTTTCGTCTTTTCAGCCCCGTGAAGCTAAGAAAAGAAAAAACATAAACAAATAATAGAATGAAAAGGCTAAAAAAAAAAACACCTCTTTTTTTGCCCTTTTTTCTCTTTGAATTTTGTGGTCGAAAATGGGCCATCATGCACGTGGGTTGTGAAGATGCTAAGCAGCAGGGCACACAAACGAGAGAGCCGAAACCCCACTGTCCACACCCTCATAATATATCACATAAATTCATCATTATGTATTTCACTGTTTTTGCTAACAAATTTTGATTTCATCGCCACCTTAACTCCTTGCTAATATTACAATTTGCAGATTGGCCCAGAAAAATGCCCACAGGAATGAATATAGAGAGAGAAATATAGAGATATAGAGATTTACTGTTTAGAGTTTTGGCGCTCTCCACCAGGACCAGGTCGGGGATTTAACAGAGGCTGCAGAGCTTTGACCACAACACTCATGTTTGGCCTGAAATCTGCTTCATATTGAACGCACAATGCAGTAACGGCTGCAAACTGCAACGGAATCAGAGAAAAAAGGAGTTGTTCAAGGTTGGATTACGTAATACATTCTGCAAAAAGGATCTGCACATTTCTGTTTCATCAAAGAGATGGAGATGAATTTTATGAAAAGTAGCAGCATCCCTGTTGTCTGTGTGTGCTTGTAAATTCAAAACCACCTCTTTTTTAGGCTATTAAAAATAAAGAATTTGACATTCTTGGTGATGTGGGGTCTCCTTTTGTATTTCACATTCGTTCTGTACCAACCAGTTTTCATCATTCCACTTTTTAATTATGTCACTCAAGACTAAAACTTGTTGCGAATGGTTGCGAAAAGAGTATCACATCAGCTAATTAAGTGGTTGATCATGAGTTTATAAATAATGAATACATCTGCATTGAGCCATAAGAGTTTATGCTCAAAGTAGATAATATCATATCATTGTGGAGACTCGTAGTTTCTAACATGGTATCAGAGTCATGTCCTTAACTTAACTATGTCAATAGAATCCTCAAATGTCGAACAAAGGGTGTACTTTGTTCGAGGGGAGGATTGTTGGAAGAGTAGTCTTACATCAGCTAATTAAGGAGTTGATCATGGGTACATAAGTAAGTAATACATCCCCATTGATATAAGGTAGGGTGTACTTTGTTCGAGGAAAGGGAACGGTTGGGAGAGGAGTTCTACCTCAACTAATTAAAGGATTGGTCAAGAGTTTATAAGTAAGGAATACATCTCCATTGATATGAGGCCTTTTCGGGAAACCAAAGTAGACAATATCATACTATTGTGAAGATTCGTGGTTCCTAACAACACTTTGTGGCTACAGGTTGCTCAACTGACTTGGGAGGGTACTCACACACAATCAAGCAAACACACACACTTACACCGAGAATATCAAAAAACAAGAAATGAATAGTGTGTGGCCTTATTGTTACCTTTGCAACTGACTTGGGAGGGTACTCATCTCGTAGTTTTGCGTCAACACATTGATTAACTTTGTCCTCGCAAAGTTTAGGCGTGGCCTGCAAATATTTCAAGACTTCCTGATCTCAAGCTCAGAAGCTGGATAAATGGAGAGAGAAGAGTATAGCACAAAAACATACCCATGTCACAAGGCTTTGCTGTCCTCGAGGCAATGTGTGATCAACAGGCTTTCTTCCTGTCAAAAGTTCAAGCAGGATGACACCAAAGCTGTACACATCACTCTTGGCATTCAAGTGTCCAGTCATTGCGTATCTGCAATTTTCAAAATGGGAACCACTCACACCATTAGCTTATTGGTAAAATGGTTACATTGAAACTTGGAAGAATTATAGATAAGGAATTGAGGAACCCGTAACTTCCTTTAGGTTATATCAATAAGAACATTCAAGTGTTAAAAATCTTCTTTAGTTTTGATTTTGTTAAAGATCTCAATGAGTCTGTTAAGTTGTTGTAAGGGTTATCAAAGTGATTTTCAGAAGTTAGATCGATGAGCCACGGCAAGTTTCTTTAGTTTCAAAATAAAGACGAGTGAAAATCGCCCTGAAGTATAAGAAAATTAGAATAAACTTACTCAGGAGCATGATAACCAAAGGTTCCAAGAACACGAGTGGAATGAAGGCGTGCAGCCATATCAGGGGCTTGGTTTGACAAATCAAAGTCGGCAATCTTCGCCAAATAATCATCAAATATTAAAACATTGCTGGATTTTATGTCTCGATGGGTGATACGGGGATCGGCCTTTTCATGCAAATACTCCAACCCCCTTGCAGCACCTACAGCAATTTTTACTCTTTCTGTCCAGGAAAGAACAGGGCCAGGTTCTGCTCCTTTGACTCCTTTCCTCCCTGCATCAGACACATGTCTTAATAATTTCAATCAGCCTTCAAAGAATGAGTCAAAACATAAAACTAGAGAACATGCAACGTCTAATTCCTCTCCATCGGGTTGCATGAGTAAGCACTTCATTATGCTCAGCAGGACAGGTTTTGCTTTTTTCAGGAAAAATTAAAGACAAGTACAAATGAAGCTCATGCATCCAACAACCCAACAGTTCATAAGCTATTAACTATCACAGTCTAAGAACGATCGTATGTACCGTGTAAAATGTCATGAAGAGATCCATTTGAAGCATACTCGTATGCAAGGATTCGATTATTGCCATCCACGCAGTATCCAATTAAATTTAGAAAATTGTCGTGCTTTAGTCTTGAAGCCATGGAAACCTATTAGTTTGAGCAATAAGTCAATCCATATGGTGACAACTATTTTTTAAAAAAAGACCTTGAATCAGTGTGGTCAAGAGAACCTGGGATAAGAATTCATCATCAGGTTGTTTGCTGGCATCCAAGTTTTTGACTGCCACAGTCTGCCCATTTGTAAACACCCCATAGTATACTCTACCGTATGAACCCTCTCCAATCAAACATTGAGCATCAAAATTTTTCGTAATTGCCTTTAGTTCCTGAAATGATATGGCAGGGACTTCAATTGGTCGCATTTTCACAGGACTCTTAGGTGCAGTTTGCTGCTTGTAGCTTTCATCACTTCCTGTAACTTTCTACCCATGGAGGAACCAAAATTTAGATTGAACCGATTACATTTATAACCTTTACAATTGGATAAATTTGACAACAAAAACAGAAACATGAGAGGATTCTGAATTTCATACAGAACGCACATACAAGAAAGTGCAAATTGAATCAAATATATCTCAGTCGCATTAAATGTTCTATAGAAATAAAGCCCGACATCCTCCCTAATACACAAAAGGAGCATTATAAATGTGATGATAATATTTCAAACATGCATAACATAATGTCCATGTTAAATCCAGAAGATCCAGTAAGTTCTGTATAATGCAATTATGATATGAGGATATCTCGTCCTCACTGCAATTAAAATCTTTTGCCTTATTACAATTACCTGCTGAAGCTTTTACCGGGTACATGCTGCTGTTATCAGCAGCCATCTGGATAGCATCCTCTTTGCAGCAACCAAAACATCCCATTGTTTTCTTTGCTCACGGACGTGCCAACTGATGCCAAGAACAGTAAGTTCATAAAAATTAATAGAAATCTTTGTCCATTTCCAAAAGCAAAAGTAGTCGTTTGAACCACCAATTACTTTTCTTTTCTTCGTCTAAAAAGTGTATTGTTTAAATAGAACAAAAAACGAAAAGTAGTGCCATTGTTGTTGGAACAGGTGGCCAACAAGCTTACAAACGGAAGGCATTACCGACTGTCAGAAAGTATCAGGAAACCAGAAATGTGTCCAACTTCATACGAAGAACTCAAACCACCACTAGAGAACAGGAAAGTAAACAAATACGAATCCTAAAAAATTAACCAACATTCCTGAACATCATACTAAAGAAATAAGTACTCGCAAGAATACTCATGAACATTGGCTTTGAATTCTAAAAGTTTTCCCTCGTTACATCAAACGAACAAGTAAAATGAACCAATAAAAAAAGCGATCCTAAGAGCTCCGTAAACGCTTTACGTTCATGCAGTTCCAGCAAAAAAAAACTCGTTATCAAGATTAATATACCAATCACCGAAGAGAAAAGACGAGATATCACTTCGTCGATCACAATTCACAACCTAGAACTCGAAATTCTCACTAACAACAAATCAAGCTCAATTTCCAAACCTAGTAAAGCAATACACAACATCATGCAAGTTCCTTAACATTTTAAGAAAAAAGAATCACCAATTCTCAACACGAAGCCAAAATTCACAAGAACTCGATTCATACCGCTGATCAGATATCAAATTCGACGGAAACAAGACCTCAAAACTTCAATCAGAGTAACGACACCTTCGCGTTCGGTGCGGAAGACTAATATAATATATATATATATATATAAGCAAGCGAAAACCACGAAGCAGCCGCTTGCTTCGTGGAACGGAGTCGTTGTCGAACTTTCTTTGACTTGACTTTGTTAAAACTCCGCCGGTCGTCTCCTACTCTCTATCAAATTTCCATTCGAACTTAGCTTTCTCCGTCGACTTCCGTTCGCATTACGCATTCACACAGAGCCTCTTCGTTTAATCTTCATCCATCAATTCCCGACAGTAACTCCAAGCGAAGACCATTTTCGGGTCAACAACTCGTAGATAAACAAATTTGAAGCCTGCATTCCAACTTCGAATTTCAGCCGTTGATCTTTGATCAGGATTAGGCCATTCGTACAAAAGATCGACGGTTGAGGATGCTTCGAAGGAAGGTGCCAACTGGTGGATGACGTGGCGGAATTTTATTGACAGAGAGCTGTGGTTGAATTAATGGCAAAACGAGAAGTCGTTCGTTCATAGGATATTTGATAATTTTGATTAATATAAAAATATTAAGAGGAATATTCAAAATTGGAAATTTATGAAATATGAGATATAATTAAATAAAATGGTGTAAGCAAACCATTTAAAATAATTAATTTAAATTTAGTTAATTGATTTACTACATATTTAAATTTTTATATATTTTTGAAATTTATTTGTATGGTCAACTTTAAAATATATATATATATATATATATGTTTATTTAAAAATTCATATTTTTATTATATATTTTATAGTCAAAGTTGAATATACATTAAATAAAAAAGAATGATAAATTTTTTTATTTTAAAATATGATTTATAATTAACTTTAAATATAGGAGAGAATAAAATATAGAAAATGGAATTAAAAAACAAACCAACTTGAATTATAATTAAAAACTTTGTAGTCCACTTGCCTCAATTAGGGCTGGCATTTGACGTGACCTGTTACGTGTCAATCTATTTTCTTTTATTTTTAATGATTATAAAATAAATGCAACCAATTTGTGCATTTTTTAATTAATTTATCAAAATGGTTAGGCCCTTACGCCCAATATTGTCTAGCAAGCAGGCCCGTTTCTAGCTCCAAGAGCTTATTTTACACAAATGTTATAATTAATGAAAATTCAAAAACTAAAATAATAATATAAAAAATGAGCTTATTTTTGGTGTATAGTTTATATTCTAGGTAATGATTCACATGTTTGTTGAGAAACCCGAGTATATATTTGAACCGAGCGATTATTCTCATGTTATTTTCATTTTTTCTTGACGGAAAGTAAGTTGGTAGTTCGGGTGGAGCTGTGTCGCGTATTTTTTCTTTACAGTAATTGACATGCACTCATCTGCATAAAGTTACGTTTGTTGTACTAAGAAAATTAAGACTTTGATCGTTAATGTCGATATTAAACCCTACAAACAAACTTGTCATATCACAATATTTCTTTAATTTGGCATGTACATTTATGGTAAAACTTTAATTAATATTACCTGTTCTAATTAGTTACTTGTTTGGAACATTAATTGGATTGTCTATGGTTAGGCCTATAAATTATAAAATAAATGACCCCACAAAATCATAAAAAATCATTAAATAAAGAAGAAAGAAAAAGTAAGGGCTTTTCTGTCATTCCATCGATAGTATTTTAGGATTTTCCAAAATATTACAAGAAATTTAAACTAGGAAAAGGAAATAAAACAAATATAATTTGCTTTAAGAACAATAAAGCAGCAGAAGAAAGATAACGCGAAAATGATTCATCAGGTAACGATTTAGTCTCTTTAAGATTGAGGCTTCTCCCACTTGAGTGGCTTGACGATCTCCCAGGTGAAGTCTGGGTCGTCTCTTCCGAAGTGTCCATATGCAGCAGTCTTCAGGAATCTGCCATTGCCACCCCTCTTGAGATCGAGGTTGATGGTGATCATTCCTGGCCTGAAGTCGAAGTTTTCCTTCACGATTTGGAGGATTTCCTTGTCGGGGATCTTCCCGGTTTTGTATGTGTCGACGAAGACTGATAGCGGCTCTGGCACGCCGATGGCGTACGAGACTTGGACAATGCATCTGCGTGCAAGTCCGCTAGCGACTATGCTCTTAGCAGCCTGTCTAACAATGTAGGCACCACTCCTATCGACCTTGGTGGGATCCTTTCCAGAGAAAGCACCACCACCATGGGCTCCCCAACCGCCATAGGTGTCGATGATGATCTTGCGTCCGGTGAGACCTGCATCACCATGAGGACCACCAATGACAAAACGGCCTGAGGGGTTAAGGTGGAAGATGGTCTTCTCGTCGAGGTACTTCTCGGGGATGACGGGCTTGATGACATGTTCTTTGAGGTCTGCTGCAATCTCGTCATTGGTGACGGTCTCGTCGTGCTGGGTGGAGATTAGAACTGTGTGCACACGGATGGGTACCATGGCACCATCCTCGTTGTAGTATTCGACGGTGACTTGGGTCTTGCCATCAGGTCTCAACCAGGGGCAGGTGCCATTCTTTCTAACTTCAGTGAGGCGGGCGCCCAACTTGGTGGCGAGGACATGGCTAAGAGGCATCAATTCAGGGGTCTCATCAGTGGCATAGCCAAACATGTGGCCTTGGTCACCAGCGCCAATCTCCTCAGGGCGCTTTGTGAAGTGGCCGTGAACACCCTGGGCAATATCAGGGCTCTGCTGCTCAATGTTAACCAGGACCTTGCAGTTGTCAGCGTCAAGACCGACATCATCGGAAACAAATCCAATGTTTCGGCATGTGTCACGGACAATCTTTTCGTAGTCTACATCAGCCTTGGTGGTGATCTCACCAAAGACCATGACCATGTTGGTCTTGCTGCAGGTCTCACAGGCGACCTTGCTGTCAGGGTCCTGAGCTAGGCAAGCGTCGAGCACTGCATCAGAGATCTGGTCACAGAGCTTGTCGGGGTGACCCTCATTGACGGATTCAGAGGTAAATAGAAAGGTCTCCATCTCTGAAACATAACAACACCTTATTAGATAGTGTACAGAGATAATCAATTGTTATAACTATCCTATTTCAAGCCATGGAGACCTCGACAAATCTGAATTAAAAACAGGATGTTTAACTTGAATCGAAGCTGGTTGGCTAATTAAGAATGGTAAATACAATATCTACCATAAGGAATCCTTAACTCATGAGTAGAACAGAACTAGATCTACTAAAGAACCGCCAATTCTAACCTCAAACACAGTTCGCAATCAAATCGAGTGACCAACACTTCGAAGAAATGGACCAAAAAAAACCGATATCATGAGAGATCTAGGCAATCGTGAAACAGTTGTACGGAAATTCGGAAAACCAGAGCACCGACATCATTTCTTATTCACAAATCGGATGGAGCATTTCAACAACACAGTTGGAGGTGATGAGCAAAGGCCGACAACTGAAACAGAGCAACCAAAAGAACAAAACAAAACTCCAACGCCCGAGATCCCGAATCTCAGAGAGCAAAAACAGCATAAAAGTTCCACTAACTAGTTCCAAAAGAAAAATTCCAAAACAGAACTCTCAGATCTGCAAAAATTCTCATCTCACAAGAAGAAAAACATGCTTTAATCCAACATACAAGCACTAGACAACAGATTCGCACATCAAAACAAACAAATCCATTACTACTCCTAGACAACAAACCAGAAATTCCCCCAAATTCGTTCAAAAACCGGAAGCAAAGAAGAAGAAATGAAGAACCATAAGCCTACACAAAGCAACAGAAAAAGAACAATGGCAATAAACAAGTGACGAACAGAGCTCGCAAACCTGTTGAAATCGGCTGCGTAGATCTGGAAGAGAGAGTTTGAGCTAATACGCCAACCGAACCAGACCTCTAAAAGAAGGCGAAGCTCAACGGTACAAGGATTACAAGAAGAACAAAGCCTTTATTTATAGCACCCAGCCACCCTCCCGGCTACCGGAATAACCGGTCGGGGAAGCCCTGGAGCCAGTAGGGAGAGTGCAATAAGAAGGAAATTTCGAAAGATTCTTCCAAGCCGTATATCGTGGAAGATCCTCACCGTCGAAACGAAGTTAGTGAGGAAACATCAACGGCTAATATTCGATATTAGCCCTTTAATGACGTGCCGGGTTCTTCACGCGCTTCTCCGGACACGAATTTAATCCTTTTCTTTTTTACAAATGGTAATTTTCTAAAAAAGAGATTTAAATAAATAAAATAAATAAATAAATAGAATCCGACGTGGAAGGCCACGTCAACGACATGCTCCATGCTGCCCATCGGTTTGAATGCAATAATATCCCTTTTTATGTCAAATTTCTCCAAATATTTAGTGAATAATTTTGTTTTAATTATTTATTTTTGATATATGTGAATATTTAATCGATAATAATAATAATACATAATTAAAAATATAAGTTGAGTTAGTTTAATAAAAAAATAATTAATGCGAAATAAATGAGGTAAGTATGATGAATATGGACGGAATTAGAGCAATATACAGAGTACGATGTTTTATGGTCCATAATGACTGTTTAAATATTTTGGAAATTCTTTTATTATGAGTAATTGTGTAAATATATATCTGAAATTATATATATATATATATATATATATATATATATATATATATATATATATATATATATATATATATATAAACTTGGCTTGAAATGGAAGGTTAGAATTTGAATGCAACACTAGCTTTTATGCACGCATTTTAATGCAAAATATTGAACAAAACTATGCATTATTTATTTTATTTTTTAATTTAGATTTTCAAATTTTCTTAATCCTCAATCTTATTTTTATATTCAAAATTGTTTAAACTATTAAATAATAACATACATATGTTAGGATATCTAAGATTAAAGTTTTTTTTTTAATAAATTATTTTGAAAGGATTATAAATTTAGGTTCAATTAATAAAAATAATAATACTCTTTCTATAAAATATTTTTAAATTTGGTACTTTATCTGAAAAAAAAATATTCTTTTAAAGGTTTCAATAATTTTAAAAAATATCAAAAATAATTTTACTTTTAAAAATTTTTATACAAAATTTAAGGATATTAATGTTTTTTTTAACCAATATTTAAAAAAAAAATTAAAAATTTATAGATATTTTTTTAAAGAAAATGAAATTTCGATAATATAATAAGCGTGTGACGAATGTGAATTAATTTAAAATTTATTTTTTTTAAGCGTGAAAATAAAATGTTGCTTTCGTCACCTAACCCAAATTTATAACAAAAATCTCAATTTCTTTTCCAAGGTGGGTGAAGGTTGAAGTAATTTTGGTCACCAACCAAACTTGCACTAAAAAAAACGTCCTAACTAAATGTGATGTTAGGTGATTCCTGTCTTTTAGATCATTTGTTTTACGTATTGCAGATATTATTCAATTTTTGCTTTGGTCGTTATATATCGCCATCAGTCTCACAATTTTAAAATGCGCTTTTTAAAGTTATGTAGAATAGCCAGTATGTTAGAGTTATCCCCAATTTCTGGAAGGGATGCATTTATTAGATACAAGGTCAATGCGGGCTCTACCCGTTGCTCTAATACTAGTGTTGGATGATGAAAGTCTCACATCAGCTAATTAGGGGAATGATCATAGGTTTATAAACAAATAATACTCTTTTCATTGGTGTGAGGCATTTTGGGGAAACCCAAAGTAGAGCCACGAGAGATTATGCTCATAGTAGACAATATCATACCATTGTGAAGAGTCGTGTTCATCTAATAGAGTACTAGTTATCTGTCCTCTTTGAGCTTTCTCCCAAGGTTTTTAGGTCTTTTACCATTGTTTATTGGTTGCCACGGAGGAAGATGGGGTGGTTGGGGTTTGTTTGGGACCAAGATAGGTGCGGTAAGGTCTCCACTAGAGCAAAATTGCCAATTAAATCATTATTGGGCTTTTAAATAATTAAAATTAAACTTCAAAAGATAAAAATTAAAAATAGAGAACTCCCAAAAGGTTGGACTGACCGGTGACACCCGCCAACCGGTTGTCCCAGCCGTCGGTGCGGCGGCGACTACAGAGGCGGGTCCGATTGTCCCACGGAAAATTTGTGGGGGCTGCGAACGAATATGGACAAAACTTTGGGGTCAAAGTATTATAAAAACATTTTCTTTATTTAAAACGACTTTAAATTATATTTTATTAATTCATTTTTTGTGGGTAATAATTTAACTTGCAGAAATTCATTTAATTTAATAATAATTTTCTCTTTAATATTGGAATTAAATTAAATTAACTCTCTAATATTTGGAATTTTCAGGAAGAAAATTGTTTTATGAAAAAAATATTTGGATAATTATTTATTTTAAAGACTAATTTACTAACCTTTCGTATTTTCTTAAATTTTTTGAAATATTTAAAAAGAGTTTTAATTTTGTATTTATAGATATATTCATCATTTTTTAAAAATAAACCATTAAAAAGTTTAAAAAATTATTAAATTTAAAAATAAAAGTTTAAGGATTCATTATTAAAAAAAAATATATATATATTTTTTCAAAATTATTTCTTCTGTGGTCTTTATTAAAGTTTAAAATATAATAAATATAATAATAAACATAAAATTCGTGAAAAAGGTCATAAAAATATCATATTATATATATTTTTTTAATTTTGTCACACTTATAAGGTATAATTTTGATTATAGTATAAAGATGGAACAAAAGAGAGAGTGATATTCAATCATACATTAAAAAATAATAATAAATTATTTTATTTTATTTTATTTTGGGGAGAAATAAATTAATTTTATTATATAGTTTAGTTTATATGGGAGAGAAAACGCGGCTTTATTTGTCTTGTCTCTTATTTTTCCATAATTATTTGGTCTTCCCATTAGCCACAAGGTCTGTGTTTGACTCTCTCACATGCCTTTTTCTTTTTCTTTTTCTTTTTCTTTCTTTTATTTTATTTTTTTAAAAAATATAAATAATTCAACTAATTAAATTAAAATAATATTTACTTTTTATTAAAAATATTTAAAATTTAATTAATAACTTTAAGTTCAATAACTTTAATTATTGAATTATACTGAAGTTCACAAAATTGGATTAAAATTGTAATTTTTTTATAGGAAAATATTAATAAATGGTTTAATGATAAATTAACCCGATTTAAAATTTTTATTAAATGGTAAATTTAATATATTTGCATTTTAAAAATTAGATATAAAATTAAAAGTTTATTTTTTTAAAATTTTTATAAACAAAATTTATAATTAAAGAATAATAAATATATTATATATTTTTTAATTACGAAAAAGAAAGAGGTAATGAATGATCTGTAAAGCTTTTTTATTTATTTATTTTTTTTTTTTTTGCCGACATTTGGACGTTCATTTTCTTCAGATCTCCACCGACACACTCAATTCTTCAATTTCTCTATTTATATATCATTTTTTTCTTTTTTCTTTTTTTTTTTTAAAAAAAAAAACAAAACAACATTTTCACACTTTAAAATGCCTTTTAATTTCATCATCTAAAGCGGCATGAATTAATGCTAGCTTTCAGATCACGCGTCATGAAAATAAAGATAATATATCGGAAATGGTCAGTATCACTCAATTGGTAGAATAGAAGACTGAAAATCTTCATGTCACTCGTTCAAATTTGTTATTACAAATACGTCTAATATATCGAAAATGATTGGCATCGCTCAGTTGGTAGAGCAGAGGACTAAAAATTTTCGTGTCACTGGTTTAAATATGCTATTGAAAATACATCTAATGTGTTGGAAATGGCCGATATTGCTCAGCTCGTAGAGTAGAGGACTGAAAATCTTCATGTTACCGATTTGCTACGAAAATAAATAAGAAATTTATTAATACTTTTGTTAGTTAAACTCTGTTTCGGGTCAATTTTTCATCTTATAAATATTTTATTCGATCCTATCCATGGGCATGTGACTTGGGTAGGATCTAAAGCCTATGGGCCCACCTTCCACGTAGGTGCCCTTCTTGTCACGTGGACCAACCACGTTGAGAACCCTTCGACAATGCATTTAAGAGAGAACTAAGTTCAAGAGGTACATTCGAAGGGAAGCAATAAGCAATAACCGACGAACAATGCGTACAAAAATAGAAACACGTTGTTCAAAATTTATATTGAAATCTAACCTAAGGTTCCTAATCTCTTTCTTTTGGTTTGAACAAGTTTGGGTTAGCCTCTTACAGTTAGCCATGGACCTTTGTTGGGCTCGTCTTTGCCAAGTAGGCTTGGCTTTAGACTCGATCGGCTTTGATTCAACTTAGAAGTTGAGTTTGTTGGATGAAAGTGTCTTACATTGTTTAATTTAGGAATGATCATGAATTTATAATCAAATAATATACTATCCCAAAATAAAAGCATGAGAGTTTATGCTCAAAGTGGACAATATCATACCATTGTGGAGAGTCGTATGCTCAAAGTGGACAATATCATATCATTGTGGAGAGTCGTGTTTGTCTAACCGAATTTATTTATAATATATATTTTTTTAAATTCAATGAATATGACTTTATAGCACAATAAATAAGATATTTATTAAAAGCAAAATATAATCAATATTTTTTTATCATTATCAAATGGGTAATAATTATCATTTCACTGTCGAAGTAAAGGATCGTCAACAAGGGCGTTCGTTCCATCTAAACCAAAGCCACATCACCCAACATCTTCCACAAATGGAATTTATCTGCTTGAAAAACAATTTCTCTTATTTGAAATCTATATTTTTGATTGAGAACTCAAATTTTAATATTACAACATAATTTTTCATACGTTTATAGATTTCTTTACTAAGTAAAGAAAGAGGGAAACATGTGTATATAGTGAGTAAGGTGGACAGAGCGGAAATTTGGAAGGGCTGAAAGTGGGAACTGGGACGAGGAATTTCATTTCCATCTGATTTAACTAACGGAGAGAAATCTCAATTTTAATTTTATAAAATTATAATTATAACTTTAATTTAAGGAATATTAGAGGTAGATTGAATATGAAATTAATAAAGTTTAAAACAAAAGTATATTAGGACTCAGTTTGTCTAAGATTTGATTCTTTTTTTGGAATTTATTTATTTATTTTTATTAAATCAATAACAAATTTTCGTAGAAATTAAAATAGGATAAAATTTTCAAAAAGTATTTATATTTAAATTTAATAAAATTGAAAATTGCGAGAGAAAATATTTGGGGATAAAACGAGAAAAAGACAGCTGGCAGTTTACACGAAGCAGAAAATATTTGGTGAAAAGACAATGTTGCGCCAGCGTTAGCATCACTCACTCTCTCTAAAGAAGGGTACAATCGACATTTCAAAACACAACCAAAAGATTGCGGTGAGCGTGGATCGAACACGCGACCTTCAGATCTTCAGTCTGACGCTCTCCCAACTGAGCTATCCCCGCTTGTTGATTTGATGAAAGACAATATTATATCAAATTATTAAAGAAGGTGAAAAACATTGGAAAAAACAAAAGCAATTGCGGTGAGCGTGGATCGAACACGCGACCTTCAGATCTTCAGTCTGACGCTCTCCCAACTGAGCTATCCCCGCTTGATGAGTTCAATTGAAATTTTAAAAGATATAACAATATATTTATCCTCTACTATTGTCGTTTTTTAATCCATTTGGACGGCATTGCAAAGAGAGAGCTCTGATGGGAAAAGCCAAATCCTTCAAGAACGAGTTCTCCTATGGTATGATTGACCTTTTATGGCTTAAAATTCAAGATGATTTTCGTAATTTTTTATCATTTTTTCTCTTAGTTTGATACTTTTGGAGATCCTTATTGAATCATGGCGTTGAATTTTTCGTAGAACAACGATTGGAGGAGTCGTTCGAAATCTTGATCAAGTATCCGGATCGAGTTCCCGTAAGTTGCCAAATTCTCACATTATGCGTTTCTTATTTGAGAAGATTCGTATTGTTGCATTTTGTTTAGAAATTATAGATGTTGGTGAATTTATGAATTTGGTGGAAATAGGTAACTCAGAAAGTCTGCAGGCCAATCCTTAGGCGTTTATCTTTGTTTCCTCTTGGTTGAAGCGTTATCGTTATGATTTTTTGTTTTTTTTCTTAGAGATTGGTCGCACAATTTGCTATGAGGGATGCTTTTCAGATAAATTCTTTCAGGAAATGAAATGCTGAAGTTATCAGATGAGATTAGTCAATGTTTTCTTTGTAATCTAAGAACAAAATTGTATCCGGATTTTTGTTCAACTCGTGGATAGAAGCTGCTTGTTTGTATCAAGCGATGCCAAGGCGATTTCAATTTTGGTAGGCTTGGACAGAGCTATATAGAAGGAAGCAAATCACTATTTTTGTTTCCTAAAAAAACAATATCACCGAAGTTAATGTGCAGACTCAATTATGTGATGTTCTTATATTTTTGAGGTGTAAATGCTAGATTACTGTTATTCATTTCCTCCAAATCCATAAAAGTGATTTAAAGTTTTTCCTTTTGATGTTCTTTTTGAGTATCATTGCAGGTAATTGTCGAGCGATATGAGAAATGTGAATTTCCTGAGATGGAAAAGAAGAAGTAAGTTCTTCCTGCATATCTAAGCTTCCTCAGTGTTTCAGTTCTCCTAATTTCATGTACCTCTCTCTGAAAATCAATTGAATGGAAACAAACACTATCACCTTTGCATTACACTCTTAACATGTTTGTTCTTGTTAATGTTTGAGAAACCATTTTTGGGTGCTTGCTGTCGATCGTAAGCGTCGAAATCGTCGAATTTCAATCTTCCTCACAAAATTGTCGAAAAATTATCGATTGTGACTCTGTTTTTTTTTTTCAAACGGCCCAATCAGAGTTTCTAATTTAGGGTCTCGGTTTTAACCCTATACGTATGGTGCTATACGCTCTCTTTCTTCGAGATTGTTAATGTTTGTTCTTGTCTGTCTTATTTTTCTGGCTATCTATCACATGATCATCCTCCCCCCAAAAAAAACATCATGGTATTTATTTATTTATTTACACATTTGGAAATTAAAACGTAGTCTCACATAATGTCTTACACGTTGTATTCCAACGTTTTCGTCTCGTAAGATTCCATTTTCATTGAATTTCTGCAGAACTATGGGATCTGAACTGGGGTTTTGTACATGTTGCCTAGGTTTACATTTGAAAGCCAGTTGTGATCCTAAAATAACATGACATATTGTGTCAATTAGTTTTGGGTTGTCTGTTGAATGTCTTTTGTTTTGTTATCGACTAAAGGTACCTCATTCCTCGAGACATGTCTGTTGGCCAATTCATCCATGTCCTGAGCACCAGGCTTCGTCTAGCACCTGGAAAAGCTCTCTTTGTATTTGTAAAGAATACTTTGCCTCAAACAGGTAGGGTTAGGACATAGGATTACATTTGAGCTGATGCTGCTGCCCAATTTTACGTGCATTCTCGTGCAACAAGTCGTTTTAATCCTAAACAATTGCCCTCAAATTTTGCAGCTAGCTTAATGAGTACCGTGTACGAATCATACAAGGACGACGATGGCTTTCTGTATATGTGTTACAGCAGTGAAAAGACCTTTGGCTAAGGTAATAATCTGATTGAGATTTGTTAATGCTGAAGTTGTTGTTTACTTTCTGCTGCTCCTCCTGTTGTGAGTATTATATTCCATGAACAAAGTTGTTCTTACCATGTAGACATTATACAGTATAATGTGTAAATCATTTAATATTGTAACGGCCTAAGCTCACCGCTAGTAGATATTGTCCTCTTTGGGCTTTCCCTTTCGGAATTTCCCTCAAGGTTTTTAAAACGCGTCTGTTAGGGAGAGGTTTCCATACCTTTATAAAGAATACTTCGTTCTTCTCCCAACTGGTGTAGGATCTCACAATCCATCTCCTCGAGGCACAACGCCCTTGCTGGCACTCGTTCCCTTCGCCAATTAATGTGGTATCCTCCAATCCACCCTCTTTCGGGGCCCAGCGTCCTTGCTAGCACACCGTCTTATGTCCACCCCCCTTTGGGGCTCAACCTCCTCGCTGGCACATCGCCCGGTGTCTGACTCTTATACCATTTGTAACAGCCCAAGCTCATCGTTAACCGATATTGTCCTCTTTAAACTTTCTCTTTTAGGCTTCCCTTCAAGGTTTTTAAAACGCGTATGCTAGAGAGAGGTTTCCACACCTAGGGAGAGGTTTCCACACCCTTGTAAAAAATGTTTTATTCTCCTCCCTATCCGTTGTAGGATCTCACATATTGTTTCTTAAAGCTATTTTCTTTTTTAGCTTTTAAAATTTAGAAAATTGGTTCAATTTCTAAAAAAAAATATAAAAGTAGGATAAAAATGGTATTCAAAACACACATTACATTTCTTAAAGACCAGAATTGGGAGAGCAATAATACATACCTGCAAAGCAGCATTTTGCTTTGATCGAGATAGCTTGCCACCATGGTCAATAGTATTATGCCTCTGAAAACTAACAAATTGTTGTTCTATCTGAAAACTAACAAATTGTCACCAATGAACAACGCACATGGAACAAGCCTAGAGCCAATAACTACTGTTATTCTATTCTATGGTGTTATTCTATGACGTTGTTTGTATTTGAAGATTCGAACTTTTGATCTATTGTTTAAATTTTTCAAAGCTCGTGTCATTCAAAAGATGGTTCTAATTACGTATTCAAACCATTCCTTTGAAACAAGAAGGTTAGAAAGAACATGGTCAAGATGCAAATGTTTGGTATATTGTGTGTGTCTACCTACTACCCCACAAAACTTGTTCTTAAAAATCTCCCACTAAGGCTTTGCTAGCGCCAACTCGATTATGAATCATCATTACTACAAAACTTCATAAACTTGTATAATCACACACACGCTTTCGTTTAGCATAAGAAACCCTCTCCCTATAACTACGCTATCACCTTCATCTTCTTCTTATTCCTCTCATTTTCTCATTCTTTCACCTTCAATGGCTTCTTCTTCTTCAATTCCTTGTACCACCATCTACTACTTCTTCTTCTTTCTCTCCACTTTCGCTTCAGCCACCCTACGTGTCGGTTTCTACCGTTCATCTTGTTCTGATGCCGAGGCGATTATTAAGAATGTTGTCAACCAAGCTATCTCTCAGAACCCTGGCTTTGCTGCAGGCCTCATCCGAATGCACTTCCATGACTGTTTCGTTAGAGTAAGCTTCTTAAGCTTCTTAAGCTTTCTTTTAAAAACCCATTTGATTATTGTTCCAAATATTTAGTAAAAATATAAATGTTCATTTAACTCGTCCAACCGAGAATGGAGAGGGATTAGAAGGAGATTTCTCCTAGTTGACTAAATGGGGTCGTATTTTCGCTAGCCGATATTGTCTTCTTTTAGCTTTTTCTTTCGGACTTCCTTCAAGGTTTTAAACATGTCTGCTAGGAGAGAGGTTTCTATGTTTTGTTCCCTTTTCTAAGGGATGTGGGATCTCACATTTCACCCACTTTAGGGCCAACGTTCTTGCTGACACTCGTTCTCTTCTTCAATCGATGTGGACCCCTCCCCCAATCCACCCCCTTCGAGACCCAACATCCTTGTAGGCACACTACCTCGTGTCCACTCCCCTTTGGAGCTCAACCTCCTCGCTAGCACATCGCTTGTAATGGCTGAAGTCTACCGCTAGCAAATATTGTCCTCTTTAGATTTTCCCTCCCAGGATTCCCCTCAATGTAGAGGTTCTCTTATAAGGAATGTTCTATTCTCCTCTCCAACCGATGTGGGATCTTACACCGACCTTGCCCAATCTCATCTCCATACTATTTTATATATATATATTAAGAAATTTCACATGTTGATTATTATATTATATTATTATTTGATTCTATTCATTATTGATTTAATAGTGATTTATATTTGTTTTTGGGGAGTGCAATTTCAGGGTTGCGATGGGTCAGTACTGCTGAAATCCACACCCAAAAACCAAGCAGAAAGAGACCATCCAGCAAACTTCCCAAGCTTACGAGGTTTCGAGGTAATTGACGAAGCCAAGGCCCAAATCGAGGCCATATGTCCCAACACCGTATCTTGCGCCGACATTCTTGCCTTCGCTGCCCGCGACACTGCCTACAGAGTCGGAGCCATCAATTACACAGTGCCAGCCGGCCGCCGCGACGGCCGTATCTCAATAAAGCAAGAAGCTTCAACCCTCCCGACACCCTCTTCCAACGCCGACGAACTCATCAAGAGCTTCGCCAACAAAGGGCTGTCCGCGGCGGAGATGGTGACACTTTCCGGCGCCCACTCCATTGGAGTAGCTCACTGCCCCACCTTCTCCAACCGCCTTTATTCCTTCAACGCAACTCATCCACAAGACCCTTCCATGGACCCCTCATATGCAGAGTACTTGAAGACCAAGTGCGCGCCGCCTAATGGCGGTGGCCGGAGAGAGCAACCGGCGGTGGCGCTCGAGTTTTTTAGCCGTAATCGTTTGGATAATTGGTACTATGTTGAATTGAAGAACCGTCGTGGGGTGTTAAGCTCCGATCAGACATTGTTGAGTAGCTCTTCCACCTCAAAAATGGTGATGGATAATGCGAGGTATGGGTCTAAATGGGCTACTAATTTTGGAAAGGCCATGATTAAAATGGGTTCCATTGACGTTCTTACAGGATCACAAGGGGAGATCAGGCGCCATTGTAGCTTTGTGAATTGATTTCAGACATTTAATTTGATCGCCCAATTAAGCTTCTCATAGGAAGAACAACAATTCTCTTGTTTTGTTCAAATTCATTCATTCATTTTAAATATTTTATTTTTTCAAAGCGTAAGTGGTAATGCTACAACCTTCCAATGATATGATATCACTTCGTTGTATCGGAATGCCATATACAAAATGTTCCGATACCCAATTGATCTCGTAAAAGTAGAATCAAGATCAAATCTCACTCACATGCCTATAAATAGAAATTAAACAAGCATCACTCACACGCCTATAAATAAAAATTAAACAAAGACTCAAGGAAAAGTCAACCTCATTCGCAGCCCATAAATAGAAATTAAACAAACAGACCAAAGGAAAAGAATAAATTTCCATATCAGACACAAGGAAAAGTCACTCACACGCCTATAAATAGAAATTAAACACACAAGGAATAGAATAAATTTTGATATATGCACTGGAATCACTATAATTATAGAATTTACAAGTGTATCTCTCATATTACAAAGCCTCTCTTACAAGATTCCTCCCAATTAATTTTAGGTAAATACAATGATAATGACCACCTGATTTCACATTTCAAAACAATACTAGACAAACTAATTCTCATACATTAATTAAATAAATGGTAATATTAATAAAATAAAAACATTATAAATTAAATGAGAATTAATAACAAAAATAAATAAAAATGTAATCAAACAGATTTAATAACCATAATAAATATGACCCACAACTTACCACAACTGGAATTGAAAAGCATGAGCTAAAAGCTCTTTTTTTTTCAAGTAGTCTTCATTTATTTGTTTCGACATATTTGGTGTACCATACCCAATACATAATTATTAAAACCGACCCACATTCAATAATTTTCCACATAGAGCTTGAGCTAGTTTCTAAAATGGCAATTCTTTCTAATCTCCCCTTGAGTTCCGGTCAAAACCTGCAGCTTCCCCATCTTCACCATCGCCGCCGCGAAATCTCTCATCCAAACCGCTCTGTTCTTCTGGTATCTCGTCACGATCGCCGCCGTAAGAGAGTCACTTGCCAGCGCCTGATCCGACGACAAAACCCCCAAATTCCTCTTCAAATTCTCAAAATACTGAACGTCCAATCGATTTGTCGTCACGTTGTCCAAATCCGCCGTCTTGTCAAACCCACTACCCAACGGGCACTTCTCTTTCAAAAAGGCCGCAAATTTTGGGTCCAAAGTCGGGTCGGTGCTGTTTTGGTCAACGCCGTTGAAAAAGAAAAGCCGGTTGGAAAATTCTGCACACGCTGTCCTTCCGATGGAATGGGCCCCAGAAAGCGCCACCATGTCTCTTAGCGACAGCCCTCGTTCTTCGAAGTGTTGTTTGAGGAATCGGATGTCGGTTGTCGGAAAAGGGAGGTTGTCGGCGACTTTGGCCCCATGGGAGATGAGTGAGTCCCGACGTCCACCCGGGACAGCGTAGGTGAATTGGCCGACGGTGGCGACGCTGTCTCGTGCTGCAAAGGCTAAAATGTCGGCGCAAGAAACTGTTTGTGGACATTGGGATTCGAGCTGGGATTTGGCGTCGTCGATTATCTCGAAGCCTCGTAATAAGGGGTTGCCTGGACGGTCTCTCTCGAAATCGGGGTTTTGCGGCGTTTTGTCGAGGAGTATCGATGCATCGCAGCCCTACAATGTATATTATTAGAATTCTTGTAGATATGATTTGTTTTAGCTCGGTACGTATAACCGTTAGTTTCATGGGTTTAAAACGTGTCTATTAGGAAGAGGTTTCCACACCCATCTAAGGAATGTTTCGTTCATCTTTCCAACTGATGTAGGATCTCACAATCCATCCCTTTGGGGGCCCATCATCCTCGCTGGCACACCGTATGGTGTCTTGCTCTGATAGTATTTGTAACAACTTAAGCCCACCGCTAACAAATATTGTCTTATTTGGGTTTTTCCTTTCGAGCTTCCCCTCAAGGTTTGGTTTCTAAAACGCGCCTACTAGGGGTCTAGCGTCCTTGTTGGCACACGACCGTCTGACTCTGATACTATTTGTAACCATCTAAACCTATCCGCTTTAAACATAGGCTCTCATGAGATCTTTTGAGGAAATCAAAACTAAAGTCATGAGATTTTTTTAGTGGTGAGCATGAGTTGTTACAAATGGTATCAAAGTCAGTCACCAGACATTGTGAGGTACTGGTCGAAGTAGGGCTAGACTCTCTCCATAGTAGATGCGTTTTAAAATCGTGAGGCTGACGACGATACGTAACAGGTCAAAGCTAACAATATCTACTAGTGATAGACTTGGACGGTTACCAAAATAAACCATGTAAGGATGGATAAGGAACAAGAAATAGGCTTACAAGAACGATACAATCATGAAAATGCAAACGAATGAGGCCAGCAGTCATTCCAGGGTTGATAGCGACTCCCTTTTCCACTGCATCTCTCACGATGCGTTCAGCCGAAGGACATGTTTGACGGTAGAACCCTAATTCGAGCTCTTCACAATAAACTTTGGATGCCATTACTAAGCCCACCATTAACAGAGCTTTAAGCTTTGCTTCTCCACTCAAATCACTCTGCATTTTGCAATTTCCCTTCATATTTGGTACCTAAATTTTAGAGAAAGGGAGAAGATAGAGAGTTTATGGTCACCTTAATCTAGGTTATGTTAATAAAGGCTGCATATTATACAAGGGGCCTTTCTTGTTCTTATGCTTTTGGCTCTTTCTCTTTCTCTTTGTTTTGTTCGAATTTTACAGAGTTAGATAGTAACAACTCAAGCTCACTACTAGCAGATATTGTATTATTTAATCTGTTTTTTGGGTTCTATTCAAAGTTTTGAAACATCGGTTAGGAACATGTTTCCACACCCTTATAAAAAACAATATTAAATAAATAATATGATATATTTTTTAATTCATGTATTCTTACTTCGCTAATCATGTGATTAACAATTTTTTTTTTGCACCAATTTGAGCCTAACTAAGCTGGTTAAGACATGATATACTTAACTAGCCAACCTCACAAATTACTGAACTAAGAAAATTCTCTTATGTTCGTTAAGAATAGAAATTATTACATTTTTTTTTATGAGAATCGAGCTATTGCAGTAGTAAAGGAATCACACGAGAAGAGCGAAGACCCTTTTCATGTAGGGTCATAGCAAAAGATGTCTCGAAATATACAACTTGATCCATAGACCCTTTTTAGAACTATAGTTCTCGGCGCATTATGCCCTTGAAAAATAAGAAAGATATTATTCTCTTTAAGCATGCATCTCGAGCAATTTAGTTGAAGAAGAGCTTCCACGTCTCTCCACCCTTTGGATCTCGTTTATCGAGATTAATCTATTTTTTAAGAAATTAAAAGATCGATACAAACTACGTAGGATAACTTCGATTTCATCTAAGGTTCCTAAAGAGAGAGCAAGCCGGCAGCTAACTTTTTATACACATTGCGATAAGATTAGTTTTAAGGAATTAGATTTGAAGCATAAAAACAAACAAACCTTGATTACATCGAATGTCTATCTAATGTCATGACATATGTCAATTTAAGGTAAGAATATTTTATCCTAATGACAACAAATCACTTTCGAAAGTAAAATTCGGATTATCTTGTTGATCAAATATCTCAAGACAAAAACACTTGAATGAGATTCGAATTACTCTACTAACAAGATAGAACGTGTCAAATTTGAATGATTCTAAATATGCAACCTAAACTAGGTAAAATTGTAGAGAAACTTAGCGCTTGATTAAAGGAAAGGTAAACACTTAGCCCTAATGATCAGTACGTCTATTAGGAAGAAGTTTTCACATCCTTAGAAAGACTAATTCGTTCTACTCTCCAACCGATGTAGGATCTCGTAACTAAAATATATTTTGCTCATATGTATGTTTTTAGATGAGTTGTATTTTTTTTAAAAAAATAAAAAATAAAAAAACTCAAGAACCAACGGGATGAAATCAATTTCAAACTACACGTATTGATAAAAGTTAACTTCAAATTAGGCTACTTATTATAACAACTCGGGTCTAGAATTCATACCAAATTTTGGAGTCTAGATTCGACATTCTCCTTTCATTTCTTACGACACGACCATGTTACTTATAAGAGTTACCTTCCTATGCAGCTTCCGTTGATCATGGATTTATAAGTAAAGAATACATCTCTGTTAGTACAAGACTTTTTGGGGAACCGAAAATAAACCCATGAGAACTTATGCTTAATATAGACAATATCATACCATTGTGGAGGATCGTGATTCCTAAAAGAGAACTTCCGGACAATATCATACCATTTTGTGGTGGGTCATGATTCCTAAGAGAGAGCTTTCAGACAATATCATACCAGTGTGGAGGGTGTGCTAAGAGCTTCTCATTCTGCATTAGAAACATTTTCTATTAAAAAAATGGTAAAATCTTACGATAGTTCGAGAAATTTTAAATAAATAATTAAATTATTTTTTCATGAAGTATTTTATTAATTTTTGCTTATTAAAAATTGATTTATTTGAAAATTCTGTTTTTTTATTAATAAAAAAATCATTATCCCCAAATTTATTTTCTAATTAAAAAGTTTATCCTAATTGCCATTTTCCATAGTTTCTAAATCAACCATTTCAATCAAATTATAAAATAATTATAACTAATTATGGTTTAGTTATTAATAAATATATTAATATATATATATATATATATATATAATCGTTTTTTTTTTTTTTAGTTTCACCATTTCACCAATCATTTCCAGTCTTCGTTCGTCTGCCTCTCTGACGGCCTTGATATTGTTGTGGCTCTGAGAGGAGAGAGATTTTCAGAGGCTGTTCTTGCATTTGGTGCCCTCAACTCTCTACTCTCCACTCCCTTTGTGTCCAGTCGCTCTCTTCTTCTTCACGAATTTCGAATCCCAGTATGTCACTTGCAGCGCTCACCTGTAATTCGAATCCAAACACTCTGAATCTCAGTCATCGATCGATCAGAAGGAGTAATGGCGTCTTATTCATGGCGATTCCCACTCGCAGAAGCATCAATTTGAGGTCACTATCTCTTCCCAAGCTCCTCTTCAGAATCCCACGGAGTTCTTCGAAGTGCCGCAGAAACCCCATTTCCCCTCGAGTTAAATTCGTCTCCCCTGTGATGGAATGGCAGAATTGCACGTAAATACAGTATTTCTTTCTCGATTCTCCGTGTTGTTTCGGTTTATTGATTCTCTATTTGCAATTGCTTGTTTGGATTTGGATTTGGATTTCGGTTTCACTTCAAAAAGTTCCTAATTCTTCGCTGGATTGGTTTGACTATTGCCTATTGTTTTGATGATTTGATGTTGAGTGCGATGCAGTTCTTCCTGGAGGATGGACTCTTGAGTTTCTTAAAATGTTGTAGGTTTGTTGGTATAACCAGGAAATGTGATGAATGCAGGGCCAAGATGGAAGTAGACATTCCTGCCTCGGTTGCTTATAAATGCTACTCAGATCGTGAAGCCATTCCCAAATGGATGCCCTTCATTTCATCTGTGAAGGTTAGCTATATTACTCAATCTCAAGTTGATTGATTACTGATCCTGAAAATGTCTTCCATGTTTACTTGAAGATGCATTCTAGCAACATTGTATAATGGAAGGAAACCTTCAACTTGTTTTGCTTATATGAGGAGAAAAGTTTGTGAGCCTTAGAGTAGTTTGTTATGAAAGTCTCTTATGTGAGTGAATGCAAGTGAGGGGGAGGTCTATGTCTATTTGCTAAGTGATAGAAGAAAGAAAGATGAGAAAAATGGGCTGGCAATAGCCTATATTTTGGGAGAGAATCAAACCTTGGAACATCTAGTAACTTACAATTTAATTCCATGGTATTATAATGATTATGCAACAACATGAATGAATAGGAAGCGATGAGCTTTGCCTGTGAGATCCCATATCGGTTGGGAAGTAGAACGAAACCTTTTTTATAAGGGTGTGAAAACCTCTTCATAGTAGACGCGTTTTAAAATCTTGAGGAGAAGTCTAGAAGAGAAAGCCCAAAGAGGAAAATATTTGTTAGCGGTGGGCTTGGGCTGTTACAAATGGTATCAAACCCAGGCACCGAGTAATGTGCCAGCGAGGAGGTTGAGCCTTGAGGGGGGTGGACACAAGGCAGTGTGCCAGCAAAGATGCTGGGCTCCGAAGGGGGTGGATTGGGGAGTCCCACATCAATTGGAGAAGGAAACGAGTGTCAGCGAGGGCACTGAGCCTCGAAGGGGGGTGGATTGTGGGATCCCACATTGGTTGGGGAGGAGAACGAAACATTATTTATAAGAGTGTGAAAATTTCTCCCTAGCAGACGCGTTTTAAAACCTTGAGGAGAAGTCTAGAAGGGAAAGCCCAAAGAGGACAATATGTGCTAGCGGTGAGCTTTGGCCAGAGATAGGTACAATATTTTTGGTTGTCACTTCGGTTGATGTTTGGTCTTGGTTAAGTTGATCATTTGTAGTCCTCCCATGGGTGCACTTGCTTTCTATGTAAAACCATTAGGTAGGCTTAAGAAGTACAAATATGGATATGAAACACAGACACCATATGACATTGGCACAATGATGTCATTTTTTAAAACTCTAAGAAACAGACACAGCAAAACACGATGTATTAATACATATTATTTTTTACACTACATAGAAAGTCAAAGTCTTGAAAAAATTGTGTTTGGAGTTTGATGTATTTTGCTCTCAAATGTTATTACTTTTGACATAGATTACTATTTTTGTCTTGTACGTTGAATTGGTGTTTGATACGTACCTAACAAATATTGGACTTAGACCCAAGCTCACTTTGTACAATACGTGTCCAATAAGTTCAGTTAAGTTCAGTGTCCTAACACATGTCTAATATGCCATGTTTGTTTACTGCCAACACTTAAATCTTGGTACAGTTAAGCAATTTTTAGTTATCAGATAGATTGCACAATTTGAGAACTTGTTCTGTACTCTTTATAGGTTTTGGAAGATAATCCTACTTTATCACGGTGGTCATTAAAATACAATGCCTTTGGTCAAGATATTGAGTTCTCTTGGCTTGCCCGGAACTTGCAGGCAAACAATTCTATTCCTTGAACCTTCCATTTAACATCCATCATTTCAATAATTTTTTTGTCCTTAATCAAAAAATCCATTGGTGTCTTGTGATAATATTACAGCCGACCCTCAATCAAAAAATCCATTGGCGGTCTCTCGAAGGTCTTCCAAACAGGTACCTTCAAAAATTTATTTCAAAACCATTCTTGGTGTCTTGTGAATTGTTTTGTAACGGCATGTTTTGTAACGGCACAGGCCCACTGCTAGCAGATATTGTCCTTTTTTAACTTTCCCTTTTGGTGTTTGCTAGAGAGAGATTTCTACACCCTATTAAAGGGTGTTTCGTTCTCCTCTCCAACCGACGTGGAATCTCACATGTTTAATTGACTTCGTTCTATATGGTCTCTGCCGTTTTCTTGTTCTTCTGAGTGTATTCTGAATCATAACACAATCTTGAGGCCTTTAAATCTTTGTTTCCTTTGCAGAGGTGTTGTTCGATTTTATCCAAAAGGCCCATCATCTTGCCTCGTAGAAGTAAGCCTACGAAGTCCCAATTGACATGTTTGTATCCTTTTTGGTTAAATTATTGGAGATATCTTTACATTTTGATCCACCTAATGAAATCATGTGCTTGAAAAAGTAGATTAAACGTCATATTGCAGCCAACTTCTCCATAAAAACTACACAAAGTGTCGAGTAATCATGCGCTTACTCTAGATTTCTTGTTTGGTCGTTTTCAGCTGACTGTCTCTTATGAAGTTCCTCCTCTTTTATCTCCAGTGGCATCTGTAAGCTTTCTATCCCATTATTAGCTTGTAAACACATAGTCAATCATGATTCTTGAAGAGCACAATCCCAAATTCTCATATTCGTATGTTTTTTGCAAATGCAGGCATTGCAACCTTTGCTGGAGAGATTACTTAAACGAGGTCTTGAAAGCTTTGCCACATTTGCTAAGAAATACCAAACGGCTTGAAGACGGGTATTTGTGTCATATGGTATGGATATCACCATTTTTTACTAGATACTCTTATTGACAAATGTGAAATCTTGAACAGAATACTTTAATACAATCATCTGTTTCAATAAGAAATTAATGTACTTTACAAAAATATTCCGAGTCCAGCTGATTTATTGGGTTATATATGTTCTTAATCTCAAAAAATTATTTACATCACAATGAATGGGATAGCAGTTCTGAACTCTTCAATCTGTTTGTTACAAATGAGAGTTGTTACAGGAAATGGTAGACTCATTGGCATCCACTCTTATCCAACGATCTCTGCAAGCTACAAAGGGCTTGAGCAGAGAGGCTGCAGTATCTCAATTTTCGTTGCTGTGGTTGTGGAGAGTTGTCCCTATGGAAACTAGAGAAGCAAACAATAACAACGGTGAGATTATCGAATGAGTCTAATCCCAAAGCCCGCAGGACGAGATCTCGAGCGCAACGCTCAGGGTTGTCATGTCGCTGAAGTCCACGGCGAACTACATCGACTGCATGCTGGCTTGACATCACGTCCCAAATCCCATCGCAGGCTATGATTAAGAACTCATCCTCCTCTGTTAGAACCACCTGCCTGCATTCTGGTTCTGCAATGAGGGGTGAAGGAGAACCATGGGGGAGGAGCTTCATGTCCCAATCACCCAAGGCCCTGGAAACTGATAAAAGGCCGTTAAGATAGCCACCATCGACGAAGCCACCCAACTCTTCTACTCGTTCCTTCTCCGGTGAATAAATTGGCCTGTGGTCTTGAGACATATCTACTGCCTCTCCCTTCCGACTAAGAACAGCCCGGCAATCTCCAACATTAGCCACCATTAGAAGCCTGAAGAACAGAAACATATGGTCAACAACATAGCTAGCTACCTCCTATTTGTGATTTCTCCCAATCATATGAACAATGCAGTGCTATTCTACAAAAGCTAGAGATGAAAATCTAAATAGACAGTCGAAACCAGAACAAGACAGCATAATCGTATGAGTAGGTCAACAAAAACCAATAAAACCATGATCAGCCACAAAACTACCACCAACTTTTGGATTCTCCTAACCATATAAACAAATGCAGTACCACCCAACAAGGTGGCCGGACACAATCATCTAAAAGACAGTGAATTCGTATGAGTAGATTAACGAAAGGCAGCAACACCCGACTACATTTTACCGAGATTGACATCAGGTATTGTGAGATCCCACAGGAGGAGAACCAAGCATTCCTTAGTGTGAAACCTCTCCTTATAGACTTGGACTATTACAATGGGTACCAGACACCGGGTGACACTGCCCAGTGAGGATACTGGCCCAAGGAGGTAGATTGTAAGATCCCACCTCGGTTGGAGAGAAGAACGAAGTAATGCTTGCAGAGGTGTGGAAATCTCTCCCCAAGGGTGTGGAAATCTCTCCGTATCAATATCTTTGTCAGGGTGGGGAAATCTCTCCCTATCAAGCCTAGGGGCCTCATGTTACAACCTAAAAGATGCGTTTTAAAACCCAAGCACTTGGGCTCATGAAGGATGATTACATAAGATTGGAAAAACATACCTTCCAAGCACAAGAGCAGTGAGGGCCGTCGTCCCAGACAAATTACTAATCCCAGAATCATCGGCCAAAGCTTGATCGGCCAGAAGAAATGCTTCTCGTAAGAAATTTTCAATCTCCTCCGGCCGGAGTTCATCAACATCAGGCATGTGAGGAAACCTAACATCTTCAAAAAAGAGTCTAAGAATATTCTTTCTTATATAAGCTGCTGCTTCAGGTCCTCCATGTCCATCAAACACCTGAGATCAGCAAACTCAAGTCATAATGACATCCAAAGCTACACAAACAAGGCAACCCACTCAACAAAGAAACTCAACAACTCACCCCATAGAAACCACTTGGCTTAGAAAACTTAAAGAGCGAGCCTAAATGTGTACACAGATCGTCAATCCTTATGTGTTCATCCTCCATGTCTCTCCTAGGTCCAATATCAGCAAAGCTCCCCGACCGGAGACTTGGAAATTCCCTCTGCTCCATCGAATCGACGTCGGTATCTGGAATTTGCTTCACACCCTGAAGAATTAAACATCATAAGAACTCGCACACATACCGAAACCATCGCTACAGAAACAAAATCATGACAATCACTGTTTCTATACCCAAAAACAAACAAAAACCCCTGAGAAGAAGAAGAAGAAGAAGAAGAACATACCGATTGAGAACTCGAACAAACCGATTCGGAAGCGCGAACACGATCGAGAGTCGGATCAACCGGAACCGCACCGTCGATGGACTTCATTTCATCAACAAGATGAGCCTCTTTACCGAAATAGGGGACCTCCAAAACAGGGAGGCTCTTCGAACAGAAGACAACCTTAGTTTCAGCCACCATTTTTACATTTACCAAAAAATCAGATTCTTCAACTGAGAGATCAAAATCACTATAATCTGCAGAAATGTAAGTTGGAGTTGGAATCGGATTTTTCTCTCTCTTTGCTATGGAAATTTGAGAATAATGATGAGGAAATTTCAGTAATAAAGAAGTCGGCAATGAAGAAGGGATATATAGTGGGAGCCGCCGCGGGAGGGAGTAAATTCGTGGAAGGAGACGGAGCACGTAACGCCGTTACAGAGACTTGCCTGTGAAGCCACGTTAACGTTTCCTCATCGACACTTGGCTTTATGAAATTACTTAAACACCCTTGCTTTAACTTCGTTGACCTTTTTAGCCTCTCTTTTTAAATTTTTATTTATTTATTTATTTATTTTTAAAAGACCGAGTTATGGGTTGGCCCGTAGCTGTGGACTTTTTCCAAAATTTTATTAATATGGCAAACAATTATTTAAGAAATCTGGTGGAATGAGGACTCAGGGTTGGCCCACGATTCGACCCGGTTCCAATAAAATCGGGTTTTTAACGGCCACGTGTCGCCAAAGGAGTGGTTAGCATGGTTCAATTAGGTTGCACAAAGATACACCAAGTTGAGGATATTTTGAGGTATGGTTTATAGTCAAGGGAAGAAGAATAATAGTATATATACCCGTTCGAATTTCTAAAAGTTTTATTAATATTTTTAAACTTAAAAAATATATATTTTTTTTATTTGTAATTATTTTATTTAAGAATATTTTAAAATTATAATTCTCTCATAAATAGTTTTACCTTAAATATTAATTATAAATATTTTATCAAATTATAGAAATTATTTATGAAGTCTCAAATTTAAAATTATATAGAATAAATTCTTCTTTTTGTGTTTTTGAGGACATAATAAAAACAAAAATAAAAAAAATTATATAGAAATTTCAATGGTTATTTATTTTATTTTTCTTTGCCTTTTGGAGTGAAAAAAAGGAAAAAGAAAAAAAAAGAAAAAAAAAATTGTTGAAATAAAATAGGAACAAATTTAAAGTATTTATGTGAGAGAGAGATTTTTGTAGATAAAACGTGGAGGAAAGGAAATCAGTGACGTGTGTCTGTCCATCCAACACGTGGCATCCTTAATTACATTTCTGTCCCCCGTCAACTTTAAAAACTAAAACTAAATTATTAAAAATATGATCGACTTTCAAAATTATATCAATGCAAACCCCAATAATAAAAAGAGAAATTAAAAAATAATAATAATAATAAAATGTATCATTTATCATGTTCATTAAATAAAATATAGTAACGAGATGTAAATTAATAATAATAAAAATAATACATTAACATTTAGGCTTAATTTAGTATTGTAATAGCTTTTAAAATAATTATAGAATTTAAAAATAAATTGTTGCATGTAGCAAATTAATATTCAGTAAATATTAAATTTTAATTTTAAAAAATAGATTGTATTGATTAGTAAAATAATATAAAAGTACACGTGAATTATTTTTATATTGATATTTAGCATTTATTTTAAAATTTATATAATTTATTTTGTTTAATATAAGGTATTTGAAAATTATTATATATGTAACTTTACACGTTTAAATAAATTAAAAAGTGATTTAAAATTAATGAATAATTACTTTTTTTTTACTCTCGAATAATTATTCGGTGGGCCTTATTTAATTTTTAAAATTAAAATAGTAGTTATTCACGTTTTTCATTCTATTTTCTTTTTTTTAAAAAAAAAAAAAGGAATCTGACACGTGTTTGAAAGTTATTGGACAATCCGGTGACAATTCCTGACGGTTGAGTGTTGGGAAAATGATTCTCCATCAAATATATTCACACATCTCCTTTTACGTTATGAAATTGAAAAATTTTAAAGAATAATAATAATAAATTCAATTATAGAAACTATAGGTTTCGAATATTTATTAAGAAAAAAAAAAGTATATTATATTTGACTAAGGAAGAGTGTATAACAATCATTCTTGTATCATATTCTCCGAAAAATAAAATATATGTTACATTAATAATTAAAATTTCATAAATTTAAATATTAAATATTCACAAGTCACAATGAATCACTAGCATTGAATACAGAAATTAAATATTTTTACTTTTTATAATAATTTTAAAAGTAAGTTACGAGTAACACGGTGTTATAACCCTATTTTCAGATGGGTAGGATTTACTCACCTAAAAAACTGTAACCTGTACATTAATCTTTTATATATATATTTAGGGAAAATTAAATATTTGATGGTAAAGAATCTAATTCTTGATTTTAGTCATATGATTAAAATTCTGTGGTCAATTGACTAATTTATAAGAATGTCACACGTTTATCTTACCTTATTTTTATAATATTAATATATTATATAGTTTTTGTTGACCCATATATAAAACAAGACATATTTATGTATGGGCCCTTCTAAACAGCCCGTTATGTAATTGGGCCGACATCCAGGCCCAAAATATCAATTTCTTCTAGGATATGATTGTAAATTAACATAATTAGACTATAATATCGGGAAAAGAGCAAAGGAAAAATGGTTTTAAATGTAATAAACATGGAACGTGTAAATTGATGATTATTATTGTTTTAATTATATTGATGGGAAAATTGCACAAATCACACGTGAACCGGTTGAGATTTGTTATTATCGTCCTAACGAGTTATTAGTTTGATGAATTATTAAACATTACAATCAGGCCTTTCGATTCGTTGTTGAATAACTGTTTAATTGGACTTGTCGCGACGGACTTATACGTGAGTAGGAAGGGCAAATTTGTCATCGAGAACCTTGCGCATCCCATCTTTCTGGATTATACAAGTTGGGTAACATCAACATTAATCTTAGTTTCGAACGACATCAATGTCCTTGTTGGATGATGAAAGTCATCCAACAAGAGGGTACCTGTACCCGAAACCGACACAGGTGGGTAGGTAGAGAATACCTAGGGGCGCGAGACAACTCTCTCTAAGGAACTCGGCAAAATAGCCCCGTAACTTCGGGAGAAGGGGTGCCTCCTCACAAAGGGGGTCGCAGTGTGGAGAGTTGTGTTCATCTAACAGTCCTTAATCTTATGAAGTTCTTTAATATATATATATATATACCAAAACCCATCTCTCATTAGCGAAAGTTACCTACCTCGTTTTTTTTTTAAGCTTTGCCAATATAACATAGCGTTCTTTCCTTTTGAGCTCCCGTGTGAGCGCTTAGCTACTAAAGTTGTAAGATTGAAAGGTCCGAAGTACTAAGCTTCACCTAGTATGCAACTTGGTTTTTTGCTCTAACGACCCTAATGTACTAAAAAGAAGAAAAGCAACCAAGTTATGTCACCCCTGACTATAAAGCTTCATGCAATGAAGCCCTATGTTACACTAACCTTAAGCTAATGGCGGATACAAGGAAGCATTAGTTCAAATCTAGAAAAAGACATAGATGAGTAAGAAAATCATCGTGTACATACATATACGATACATACATACATACATAGACATCAATCTCTTTAGTCTTATGAAGTTCGTTCTTTAATTTAATATAATAAATAAATAAATATATATATATATTAAAATTTTGAAAAGCATATAATAAAAATAAAATTGAAACCAATCATAGTACAAAGTATTTTTATTGCTTAACAACTCATTCGGCGTTGAAAGTCGCAATCGGTGAATGAATGCTGTGGGACCAACGTGATACGCATGTAGCCCAGTAATGTGCTGACGTCATTATGCTTACGTGATCAAAACCCAGTCAGCTGACTCGGCTCTTCAAGTTTTCAAACTAACCGCAACGACTCCTCTTGAGTTTCTTCCACGTGTGTACTTCTGGGGAGGGTATTATCGTCTTTCAATAACCTTATAAATACCAAAACCCAGTCAACTGACCAACTCGTACGAGAAATCGAAGAGATTTGGTAAATTGAAGTAATGGAAAAGCAGAGCTTGAAGACGACGGGGAAGCGAGTCGCCGCAGCCACCGTCGACAGAGAGGAGGAGAAGGAGGAGGAGATGAAGATGGAGGCGTTCTTCGATCTGGTGAGGAATTTCAAGGAAATGCGAGATCAGCGGAGGAAGGAGTTGATGATCGTCTGCGACGGCGAGAAAGCGGCAGCGGCGGAGATGAGGAAGAAGAAGATGAAGACGGTGGAGAATCGGTCGGCGTGGATTCCGAGGTTTGAAAGAGAGGATTTCGATGAGGAGTTTCAGGTGAGAGGACCGGCGAAGGAAGAGGCGGCGGCGGCGAAGAAGAAGAAAGTAAAGAACGAAGAGGATATTTTGGATCTTAACCTGTCTCTGTAGTTATTTTTCGACATTTTTTAAGGACTTTTGTGAAAAAAAAAAAAAAATTAAATAGAAAATTTTAATTTCAGGGATTTTTTTTTTTGAACAAAATTTTAGTATTAAAATAGTAACTATATATGTATAGGGCATTTTAGTAATTTACTTCTTTTGAAATGAATATTAATGGTTGAATTTCTAACTAATGTAGGTAGCTGGCCATTTTGAACTATTGTGGGTAGCTGGCAAATGACGTGTGATATCGAGATAGTTCATTTATAGAGTTCTTCGTACGATTCGATAACTTGATCGACCTGACCTATTTATTCTTTTAAGCTTGGGTATGGATTGAGTTAGAATTTTTACAAATTCGAAAATATGATTTTGTTTCTCGGTTGACATTTTTTTTATTAAACCTACAAACTCGAGAATTGGGTTACTGGTAAATATTTAATATTTGAACTAATATTTGAATTTTATGAAATTTTAGTTATTAATGTAACAAATTGTGAATAAATAAGATTTTAATTTTTTTTAAAAGAAAAAAAAAAACAACCTAATAACCTAATTCAATTGAGTTGTAAACTTTAGTTAGATTAGTCGGTTAACCAACCCAACGAACATGAAAATTTGAGTTGGTCCAAAAAAAAGTTTAACCCAACTTAACCCATGTACCGTTCTAGTCATTTAAGTTGAGACATTGTCCGAGAAGATTGTTGCACTTAGGGTGCCGTTGTTCTTGGTAAAAAATTGTGGGTCGAGTGGGTCAATCAGTAAGGCAAGATATCCAAGATGTGAACGAACATTTTTGTCATCGAGATTTAAACTATATATATTTTAATCAT